AAATCTAAGTGTTTCATTCACAGCTCTTCTTCCTGACCATCAACTTCTGGACACATGTAATTACATGCCCCCATTTCATGAAGACATTACAATTTCAGCCTTTTGCCAATGAACATACTACACATGGCAAAATAACATTTGCCAGAAATGACACACTTTTGAACTGGAATAATAGGCGCTAAATTAGAAAGTTTTTTGGACGCAATATGTCAGACAGCTTGGAAATCCACACATCAACAAAGTGTATTTTTTTTTCCCTTTTAAATTATATACCCACATTTTTTTTACTTTTCAGCCATTAGGCAACGAGCAGCCCAATAAAATGCTGAGCGTATACAGAAAGCAAAGGTAAAAATTAGCCTCGACTGTCTTGTCTGTTATAAACATTAAACTAATAAGGCAGTTCTTGATCACCCTGATCACTTGATCCATATCACCCTGATGATATAGAGGGCAACAAGCTGAATCCTTTACTCCAATTCAATATTAATGTTGCTGTAAATAAACATAACCGGTCATCAAACTTAAGCAAGCTACTCTATCAGCCTGAGGTAAGGAACTGGGGATTTTTTTTTTTTTTTTATTATTATTGAGCAGGATATTCCACTTCTTACCTACTCCTGCATCAACATATAAGGATATTCTGCTTATTTTTCATTTTATATTATACATAATTCTTTTAGTATTATGCAATGGCAAAGAGGAATCAGGTTGGGCCATAAAGGATCCAACCTTGGCAAGTCTGCCTGCCTGCTCATTTGCAAAAATATCCCAATGGCTCAAAATCCACTGAAGGGCAATGCTTTTTGTTTTTCCTTAGCTCAAAAGTTTCATTTTACTAGAATGAACCTCAGCATTTTCATTATAGTTAGAACGGGTACCTGACAAAATAGGAGTCTGTGAACCAATAAAAAACATAATACAGTGGAACCTCGAGATATGAGCACCTCTATATATATGAGAAATTCGAGATACGAGGAAAGTATGAGAGAAGAATGTGTCTCTAAATACAAGCACTGAGTCGAGTAATGAGCAATGAGTGAGGCTGTTGGTATGCGTGGTGCCGTTTCAAGATCTGGCTCAACTCAGGAAATCCCCTCGTCAAATCACTCGATGTTCTTTGATCTACATGTTTGTGCGTGTGTAAGTTAATTGTTTATTGCATTTAACCTGAAAATAATTATTTCACTATGCCTCCCAAAAAGATTGTTGCCTCAGATAGTGCAGAAAAGAAAAAGAAGAAAACCATGGCCGTTGAAATTAAGAAAGAAATCATAGATAAACATAAGTGTGGTGTAAAGAGTGAAGGAAATGGCAAAGACTTAATGGCCTTTCGACATTGACAATCTGCACTATTCTGAAGAAGAAGGAAGAAATTAAGAAACTTGGTGTAGGCAAAAGAGTTACCGTTACTTCCATGCACTGTCCAAAACTCCTAGAAGTGTTTGTTGGTGCGGATTAACAAGAAGCAGTTAAGGTCGGTGTTGGAAGCTATCAAAAATTTGAACTACGGTTATATTATTTACCAGTGTTATTTATTAGAAAAATTTATTTTTATGTTGATATTTTTGGGTGCAAAACAGATTAACTGGATTTCATTATTTTTAATGGAGAAGTTCGTTTCTAGATACGAGAAATTCGCTATACAAGCTCAATGCTGAAATGAATTAAACTCGCATCTCGAGTTTCCGCTGTATTTTGATCTCAGCTGTTTTTAATTTATCAATTGCATATGTTATAGCTGCTATCTCTCCATCAAAATTGCCACATGACAGTACTTCCCAACATGACAGCTAATACTACAATTATTTGGATAGGCTTCACCAGCATATCAACAAATAGTTACATTGTAAGGAATTTTCTTCTTCCTTAATGCATCTCTTCATGGTGTAATTGGAAACACTGATTCTGTATGCTACAAGTCACAATAAATCTTATCACCATGAAAAATTTTCCATTCAAAGAATTACTATCACAGTTCCAATTCCACAACTACTACTTTAATGGAATTTGATCCTTTTTAAAATATATCTGACATTTTTCTATTACAATTCAAATTGAACTAATAGTTACTTCACAATACTATATTTTGAAGAATTGTGCGATGACTTTTCATTAATACAAAAATTACTGACCCAATTAACAAACACATTTAACTGAGCATAACATTTAATGCTACATTCGTTTTTCTTGCTTAACTGGCTGCATTTATACTTGTTACCCAAATAAACAAAAACAAAAAAAAAACCAAAAAAAAAAACTAAAATGAATATATACCTATATAAAAACAGTAGACTTCGAAAATTAAAAATTTTATCCAGAAAATATATATGAAACTCAGCTGTATTAGAAACTGAATATTAGGGTTAAACTGGTTATTTCAGAACATACGGTAAACATGCACAGAAATTTAATTTTTAAAATATATATATATTTATACGATAAAAAAATTTAAAAAGAAAATCACCCAAAAGAGCCTTTTTTAAAAAAAAATGTTTTGTGCGTTAGCTTTATTTATTAAATATCATGTTCTTCGCACTTCAACCACATAAAATTCAATTCAACAGTATCACAAAATATTTAAAAACAGCATGTTTTTAGGATTCCCGACACACAGTATCACGTACTGGAGATAAAAATGTTTTTTTCTCGTACAATGTTGCCATTGCTCGCTTTGAAATCATTGAGTTTGTTAATTAAAAATCCATTAAAATTTTATAAAATATGAAGTAGATAATAAAACAAATTCCAAATTTGGGCTTCCAGATGCCCAAACGAGTGGAGGACTACGTTATCCAAAATTTTATGTCTCTTAGGTACCGTTGTTTTTTCACAGTGTGAGAAACATACATATTTTCATGCATATTCTTCATTATTTACTTTCCTTAAATATAATGCAGGGCTCTAATATTTGGTAGCAACAATTTGAAAAATCGGTACTATGCCGTTTTGGGGACCTTAAAAAAATTGCAGCGAAAATGTATGCGCAAAAGCGCCAAATCTAGCAAACGCGCCCATGTAACAGCATGCCAAATCTAGCGTACGCGCTGATTTCAGATTGCGTAAGTTTATATAGTTCTATATTAAGACTCCATTGAAATACTTTTTTAATTTTTAAATCCTTTTTTGATATCCTATGGATTTAACAATTTGGGAATTGCCCATGACGAAAAGTCTGCAATAGAATTTTGGGTAAAGTGCAGAGTCACCCACTGCTTGACGCGTTTTTAAGAATTGCACATACTTGGTATCCATCTACACATCGACCTATTTTCACTTAAAAAAAAAATCCCAGAATTGCACAAAAATGGTATTGCGCACCCTCTTGACTTTATTTATGTACACATCGACCTATTTTTACTTAAAAAGTCAAAGAAAATTGACAAAAATCCAATTGTTTTTACCCTTGAAAAAAGCGGCAAACAAATAAGTGGGCGATTCTGCATTTTACCGAGAATTGTTTCAAAGAAAAAGCATCATTCATTATAGAAAATTATGTTTGAACAACAGACGAGATGAAATTATGCTTTAGCGATAACTCGGTAGCGAAATAGCTATACAGGCATCCATTCAGTTATTTTTAGCAATTTTTATATAAATTATAATAATGATCTGAAATAGTTATTTACACTTATGCTTCCATTCAATCATGTTTAGCCTTTTTTATATAAACTATAATATTAAAAAAGTATTATATGAAATTAACCTTTCATCTAAATTAAAATATCAATCTTAAATAGTTATTTAGTATTATACTTCCTTTCTTGCTTTAGGGTTGCCGCAATTATTTTTAGCAGCACTGGCATCAACAATAGTTTGGCGATTTTTTATGGCCCTCAAAACCGAAAAATTAAATGCCATATATAATGAACCAATGCAATGTGCCAAAATGAAATAGCTCTTATGGGCAAATTACGCCTTTGGGCTAAAAAAAGAATGTTAAAAAAAATTGGCAGCACTAGATATATTATTAAAATAAGACGTTAAAAAACAAAATAAATATTTCTGTCTTAAGTTACCGATGAACATCTGGATGCTGTTCAATGTTGTCAATGAATTCACAACTTTTCGTTGAGAGTGTGGATACACAGTTAGGTACCAAAATGGTTATCACGAAGCAGTAACAAATGCAAACTTTACACATGACAACAATTTTAAATATTGTGCATTATTTGGAATTTTAAATATCAAATATTACAATTACTTCAAATAATAATTCATCTCATTAACAGCAAAAAATTAAAATGTAAAATTTTCACATATTACAAACAGAATAATTTAAAATTTTTTTAACAGAATATCACATGAACATTAATTCATGTATTACTTAAGATATATGAAATTCAACATTAAAATTGAGATTACTATTCTCCTTATATTCTGCCCTTGAAGTTACAAAATGAACATATTTGCAATTTAATATTGAATCAATAAATAGCTAAATATAATTACTTACATAAAATTTTCAGATATCAAATGAAATCACTTTTAAGGTACCAGATTTTCCTAATAAACATAACATAGGATATAGAAACTTCCTAAACTTTAAAGGAAACCATGGTGACATAATTTCTTTTTCTCATAAAAATCCCACTCTTTCAGAAATCAGCATAACAGAATATACTTCTCTTAACACCTAAATTTTTCCTTTTGTACTACGCAATTTGTTATGATACACAACTTCACACAGCACAGATACTTCACAGGAAGCGAATAAATTACATTTTTAAAAATATTTTGAGATGATTTAACGATTTCTTCAAGAACTGTGCTATATTTCTAAAGAAAGTACAAATGCAAACGTCTTCCTAGTCACTTTAAAATATAGAAAACAACTATATTATTCGCCACACGCACAGAAAAACTTTAGCAACTTTGCACTTTCAAGATATAAAGCAAAAGATAGAGACATGTTCTAAGACATCTGGACCATGTGACATTTTATCAAGATATAAATATTTAATTACATTTTTAATTCTCAAACAACCTATGAAACTCACCTCTTCCAGTTATTTTTCATTTCACAATCTTTACATTAATTTCTGCCCGTTTGTTTAATAACAAAACACGTGTAAACAAAGGGAATGCACCTAGTCGAAATGCTCTACCTAAACCAAAACACTTGCATCACATCCTGATGATTGCGCAACCTTGGCTTTTGACTCGCTATTCGTAAACAAAAAATAGCTATTGCTACTTCGAGAAACGAAATACACAGCTTTAACCTTTAGACATTTGTGAGTCGAAGAAGACTTTCGTTTCATTTATAAAAAAAAATTCTATGTAGTTATGTTATTTTCATTTTCTCTGTCATTTCTTAATGCTCTTCATTTAGTTTTACTTAATGAGTTTTATTCGGTAGGACAAGAAGAGGGTAAGACTGATCACGTGCCTTATGGGCAACAAACTCTGTACGATCTGTATTTAGAGCGCTGGAATCGCGGATAGATTAGTTGGTTTCTATTATTTAGAAACATATAATTATTATGAAGATTTAAATATACTCTTATAATTGATTTCCTCTTCTTTGACGTTTCGCGATTGTAGTGAAATGCTCGCCCTCTAGCAGAAAAGTGACTAGAACAAAAAAAGAGTTCTGAAATAAGCAGTGCAGTCGGCTTACTGTTGCTGAAAACGATCCACAAACACTAAAGTAACAAACTTGTGTTTGGCGTAGATTTAGCCAAGAACTCAATCGATTTTGAGGGTAAATAGGTACAGGTTACTCTTCGTCAGGATCAAACTCATCACTATTTCTTCCTAATTAAGAGGACTTATACCTGTTTGCCCTCAAAATCGGTTGAGTTTTTGATTAAATCTACGCCAAACTCAAGCTTGTTACTTTGATAATTTTATATTTTACTTTAGCGTGTTCCTCTGCCCTTGTGCTGAAAAAGTGTTCTGTTTCAGTATAAAAGTGAAATTTGCGGAAATGTGGTAAACAAGAAATGATAATACTAAGTGTTTGGTGCCTCGGCGTATCTGGACTTCTATTTCTTCTTATTGCTTTTGCAAACAGTAGAGTCCTGAGTCTGAGTAACTGGAGTCTTGAGTAAGAACAGAGAGTTTACTTAAAAGTATGTTCGTGCAAGTGTAGAAGATACGAAACAAATAAGAAGGATTTAATTACCCTTTATTTCTCACAGTTTAGAGCCGTTCCTGTACATCGGGATACAAAGACCAGTACTTAAGTTAAAAGATATTGCGGATTTTTAAGGATTCGAAAATAACTATGGTTTAATATGAAAAAATATTTTAATTGCAGATATTTACAAAATTTAGAAGCAGTTATTCTTACAAAAACGATAGAGCTTATTTTAAAATATCAAACTTAAACAGAGTTGAGCTGTAGCTGGTATTACTCAAACAACCTCCCACCTTGCAATTTGTAGTATACCTATAAATTGCAACAAAAAATGGGCACTTTCATTCCTTCGAGCATCTTGGGCAATGAATGGTAACTTTTCCAAAATGTTGATTTGTAACGGATAAAGTTTTTGGAATGGTCTCAACTTCTTCTCCATCAGCTGTTCTCACTCTGGTAACTCTTCTGTGTCCACTATTCCAAAAAAGGCTTCAGTGACGATTCCTAAAGGCCAGTTGATACGCTTGCCATCAGTTTCTAGGAGAACGACCTCCCCGACTCTTAAAGATTCTTCCCGGCTTTTATCTTTATGAATCAACATTGCTAAATACTCATTCCGAAATCTCGTTCTTAAATCCTGCCTTAATTTTTTTACAAAACTCAATCTTATATTTAGGCTTTTACTGTCGATTTCGTCTAAATTAGTTGTTTCACTGCAAGGAACAACTGATTTAGACGAAAGAAGAAACAAGCGGGAGTTAATATAAGAAACAAGCGGGAAGTTATTGTGTTTTGTAAGAAACAATCGGGAGAAGAAACAAGTGGGAGTTAATGTGTTTTGTAAGAAACAAGCGGGAGTTAATGGCTTGAGACCTTCCGAATTGTCTTCAATATATGTAAGTGGCCTAGAGTTTATTGTAACTTCGCAGTCACATAGAATAATCATAGTCAAAACTAATCATGCGCTCCCACCATCCTCTCCACCAGGCGGCTGTCAGCGGGTTAAAATTCCATTTGATTTTCTTGATAGCAGAAAACGACATGATCTTTTCCCAATCTAAATTTTTTAGAGCATTGCTTGAACCAATGAAGTTTGTATCGTTGTCAGTGAAGATTATATTTACTCTACCTCTTCGAGCAAAGGATCTTCTTAAAGCCATAATAAAAACTTCTGTAGACAGGGAATTGACTAATTGAAGATGGACAGCCCTATAAATGACATAGGTAAAAAATACAACCCATGCCTTTTCGCCAGAATGTAAATACAAAGAGGCTGCGAGATCAATCCCTGAAACTTCAAAAACTGCAGCAGTTTTTATTCTTTTCCTAGGAAGAGGTGCAAAAAGTGGCTCTGTAGGTTTGACTTTGAATCTTTTACATGAAATATAACTACAGCTAATTTATTTCGCTAATCTATTGATCGAAATAATCCAGTAATCTTCTCTTAAATTGGCAATCAGATTTCGAAGTCCTGCATGTTGTAGTTCTTCAATGCTTTTGCCTTACCAGTCGATGAATAATCTCATGACTTGCGGGTAACAGTATGGGGCACTTGAAATTTTCCTCTTCATCTCCCAAGAGAAGCTTTGTTCTGAGTCGTACAATATTATTTTCATCTCTGAATGTCTGCATGTTTCTCAAGATTTCCATTTGTCTTCCGGCAAAACTTTCCTACTGAATTAATTTTAGCAAACAGTTTTCCGCTTATTGAACTTCATCATAAGTGAGCTGAGTTTTCCTAATTTTTTCTTTTCGTTGGCAGCTTTTAATGAAACGAAGTATCCAAGCCAGCAGTCTAAGAATCATCGTATATTTCGAAAAATAAAGTAAATTGTCAGTGAAGTTAACTGATCCATGCTCCATATTACTATCATTTTTCTCTCTTCCGATACAACCAAATTTTCGTCAATGATTTGTTTTTCACTTAATGACCAAAATTCTTGTGACTTCCATAACCATGCTGGACCTTCTCACCATTTGCTTTTCAATAAAGTCTAGTCATCACAAGCCCTTGAAGGCAAATCTGCTGAGTTCATATGCCCTGGCACAAAATGCCAATCATTCGAGTTGGTATTCTTTCTTATGACCGTGACTCTGTTTCCTACAAACGTATTCCAAGAACTCTCTCTCTTTTGATTTAAGTTAAAGCAACAGTTGAATCAGTCCAAAAAAAAACACTGTATTGTCTTTCAATTCCAGTCCGTCTACGACTTCACCATATAATCTTGATATGATCAAAGCTCCCGAGAGTTCTAATTTAGGAATTGTGATCTCTTTGGTAGGTGTCACTCTTGACTTACTCGTTACTAACTTGACTGAAATCTTCTCATTAAATTCAGAACGTAAGAAAATACAAGCAGCATAGGAAACTTCACTGGCATCACAGAAACAATGTAGACTTATTCGGTAGTTTTTAAATGGACCTGAGACGAGTTTCCGTGGAATTTTACATTCTTTCAGTAAAGATAGTTCCTTGACTCAGGCTAAAAATCTATTTGATATATCTATTGGAAGCACATCGTCCCAATTAATTTTCCTCTTCCAAATGTTTCGAAGCAATACTTTAAGTATCAATGAAACGGGACATGTTATCCCAATAGGGTCAAATAATCTTTGGCCAGCCGATAACACAATTCTTTTACTAATCCCTTTTTCTGAAATTACAACCATACTGCTGCAAAAAAGTTCATCGGTTTCAGTGTCCCAAGAGAGACCTAGAATTGAAATGAATTTGTCATGTGTCTCTTCTACAATTTTTTCAGAAGTAACCCAGCCTCGTAGTTCGAATTGTGCTGAAGACATCAACTCCTTAGCTTCAGAAATACATTTTTCTGCCTCTTCCTTAGTTTCTAAACTCGTAATACAGTTGTCCACATAAAAAGATTCTTTGAGTCGACAAGCTGTTTGCTTCTTTTCGTCTGGAGAGTTTTTTAGATGGTAAGCTATAGTTGCTTCTAGTAAAAGTGGAATAAGAGAAGCACGAAATACCACTCTACAATGTCGGAGAGTGATTATTTCTTCTCGCCTTGATAAATCCTTCCACCACAGAAATTTAAAATATTCCCAAGCCTCTGGATTCAAATTTACTTGTAAAAATACTTTTTTGATGCCTGATGTTACGCCAATTGCGTTTTTCCGAAATTGCATTATCAATTTGGGTACTAACTCTAATAAATTTGGCACTTTTTCTAAACAATTATTCAAGGAACTTCCTTTAAATCTTTCGTCAACGCTTCAAAAACCGGACGAATTTTTGTTGTTGATACACCAGTTTTTATCACAGGATGATGTGGTAAATAGTGTCCCTTTTTCTCGTCTTTATCTACAATTTCAATAATTCCATCCCGAACCCACTCATTAAACACATCATGATATTCTCTTAAATGTCCAAATCTAATGAGATTTTTGGTAGTTGACATTAACCGTTCAGTGGCTAATTCTTTATTCCTTTCTAATTCTGGATGTCCACTTTTCCATGGCAAACATACCTCATATCTTTTGTCTTCTAATACTTTTACGGGGAAAATCTACCGTTTCTTCATCGGTTTCCTGCCTTGACTTTATTTCTGCAGGACATTTATGATAGTATTTGTTTATAAAGCATAGTTTTAAGTTTTAATATTTTGGCAACATTGATATTAAATTGTAAAAAGAATGAGTTAAAAACGTATCTGTAAGAGAGAATTTTTTTATTATTATGGTTTGGTAGAATGTGTTAAGATTTCTTATGTCTGTTTTCTTTAATAAGTTTTCTTTTTGTATATTGCATAATGTATTTTTGTTAGAAGTGGATGATTCTTTTGAGAATGTTATATATATGCTATCTTAAATAACCAACATTTGGAGCAGAGCGTGGTTGCCCCCTCTGTTAATAACTTTCAGATAGAACATTGATGTTGTTTAGGCTTAACAAAATAGCCAATTTCTCTAAGAGATAATAAATTAGACTTGTATTATAATTAGTGAATATAAATTAGAAAATATGGCATATAATATGATAAATTTGAGTCATATAGAAAAATTAAGTGACGA